TCCCTCTAATCGACAAATTCAACATCTCCCACGACACCATCCGCTTCGTCTTCGGTCTGCCGAATGAGAACTCCGTGTTGGGGCTGCCAACGGGCCAACACATTGCCATCAGACACGAAGTCGACGGGAAGCAACTCGCACGCTCCTACACGCCTACGTCCAGCAACAAGGACCGCGGACGCCTGGAACTGACTGTCAAGATCTACGAAGGCGGCAAGCTGACACCTTGGTTGAGCAAGCTGAATGTTGGCGACACCGTTGAGATCCGGGGACCAAAAGGGGAGATGAAGTACCACAAGAACCTCGTCAAAGAACTCGGTATGATCGCCGGCGGTACGGGCATCACGCCCATGTTCCAGATCATCCGCCGTATCTGCGAAGACCCGCGCGATGATACCAAGACGACGCTGCTGTATGCCAACAAAACCGAAGCCGATATTCTGCTTAAAGATGAACTCGACAGGTTTGCGGCGCAGTACGAGCAGTTCAATGTGCACTACGTTTTGAGCAGCCCTTCGGAGAGCTGGAAGGGCGAGAAGGGCCGTATCAGCAAGGAGATGATTGAGCAACGTTTGCCTGCGCCGGCGGGTATGGATAGCAAGGTTCTTGTTTGCGGGCCGGACCCGATGATGGACTCTATGGTTGGCTACTTGCAAGAACGCGGCTTCAAGGCACCTGGTATGTTGACACCATTTGACAGCCTCCGATGCATCATCCATGCTAACTCATATCCAGGCAAAATCTCGAAGCCCCAAGATGAGATCTTCACTTTCCAGTGATTGTCCCAATCGGAGTGCGGAGACTCAGGATGGCGATGGCGGTGATGGGAGTAGGCGCTATTGGTCGGATGCCTGGATCAAGAGCTTGTTTTAGATACATATTTCGTAAACTTATGCAATTGTAGTCACTACCAAAATAGACTTTACATCTCTCAACCAATGCATTCACTTCCATACTCTACTCGCGTGTCCGAGGTATCTTGAAAAGCGCCCATGTGAAGAACGCCTAAACGCCATTCAAGATGCAGTTCGGCCGACGAAGCACCGCGCGTCTCGCATGCATTGGCGCATATCCTGCGTCTCGCACGATACAAAAGCACCGTACGAATGACGTCGATACCCGATCGGCACTGCACGGATGTGTACCAGGTCGTTGGGCGAGTGACGCAACACCTACATGTGTCTAGTGCGCGTTAGCGTGTACCGTCAATATACATCACGCATCTAGACGAGCTTGAGAAGGAAGCAGAATCAGCAATAATCAAGAGACGGAGACGACTATTGTCTTGACTCAGACGAACAAACAACGAAAATGTCTCTTTGCGCAAGACGACTGACAAGAGGCGTTCGGCGGATCTCGGCCGAGCCCTCTACGGGCTATGCGACGACGCGATGTTTGAGCACGCGTATAACTACACTGGAACCAAGAGTGAGGAATGTCAACACAGCTTTCCGCACTCGATCAACATCGTTATCATACTCAATCATGTCGAATACGCAAACACAAGCTGCATCCACCAGCACACAACCGCAATGGACGGCACCAGACACATCATCGAGACCAGTCGCCGTTCTGGGCGGAGGAGTCCTCGGTCGTCGAATCGCGGCTTCATGGGTCGCTGCTGGCTATGAGGTCGCGTTGTGCGATCTCAGTGACGAGCAGAGGAACGCCGCGACACACTACATCGAACACCACGTGGACGAATTCTCGACACTTACCGGTAACGCACGGAAACCAACGCAATTCAAGACCGTCAAAGACATTGCAGAGGCAGTCAAGAACGCGTGGTTGGTGGTTGAAGCATTGCCAGAGAAGCTTCCGTTGAAGGTCGACATCATGGGCCAGCTTCAACAACAAGCACCGAAAGATTGTATCCTCGCTTCCAACTCGTCGTCGTACAAGTCGCGGTTTATGCTCGATAAGGTGGACGCGGGTAGTCGGCATCGCGTTTGCAATATGCATTACTACATGCCTCCGGGTAACAACGTTGTCGAGCTCATGACGTGCGGTGAGACGCATGCAGACATTCTGCCGTTTCTGCAAAGCAAGCTTCACGACGCGGGCATGACACCAGCTATCGCGCGTAAGGAGTCGACCGGTTTCATCTTCAACCGGTTATGGGCTGCTATTAAGAGGGAGAGTCTGCTCATCATGGCGGAGGGCGTTTCGGAGCCGGAGGAGATCGACAGGCTTTTCTTGACGATGTTCAAGGATAACCCGGTTGGACCTTGCGGGATGATGGATGCGGTAGGATTGGACACGGTTGCGTTCATCGAGAACAACTATGTTGAAGAACGCGGCGGCGACCCCACAGCGCGAGACTGGGTCCAAAAGAACTTTGTCGAGAAGGGCAAGCTCGGCGCCAAGTCAGGCAAAGGCGGTCTGTATCCCGCTGGTGAGACGACGCGCAGCTCCAAAGACGAGAGCGGCCATCACGACAACCTTGCGGCGCCCAGACTGTACTTCCTCGACATTGGCATCGGAGGCAATGTTACCGACCTGCAGAAGATGGCCACGTCTGGCAAGATCATGACAGCTTCAGCAGACGGAAGTAACGTGCGCGAAATCGTCGGCGGTCAAGCCATGCCCGATGGTATCGACGTGTCCATCTCAGCTGGTCGCATCTTCTGGACGAACATGGGCGCGTCCCCCGCGAAGAACAACGGCAGTGTCATGTCCGCGAACCTCGATGGCACCGACATCAAAGCCATCATTCCGGAAGGCCAGATCCACACACCCAAGCAGCTTAAGATCGACCACGAGAACAAGAAGCTGTACATCTGCGATCGGGAAGGCCTTCGAGTCCACCGATGCGACTTTGACGGCAGCAACCACGAGATCATCGTGCAGACCGGCGACTCCAGCTCAGCGGAAAGAGAAGACCAGACCAAGTGGTGTGTTGGTATCGCAGTCGACCCTCAAGGCGGGAAGTTTTACTGGTCTCAGAAGGGCCCGTCCAAGGGCGGCAAAGGCCGCATCTTCCGCGCGAATATGCAGATGCCTGCCAACGAGACAGCATCCTCCCGCTCCGACATTGAACTGCTCTTCGATCATCTCCCTGAACCCATCGATCTGGAGTTCGAGACCGACAGCCAAACGCTGTACTGGACCGATCGCGGGGAGTACCCACTCGGCAACACGCTGAACAAGGCGTACGTAGGTGCCGAGACGAAGGAGGAGAAAGGTGTTGTGACGCTAGCGAGGCATTTCCACGAGCCGATTGGATTGAAGATAGATGCTGTGAACCGTCATGTCTACTTGACGGATCTAGGGGGTACTGTGTACAGGTTCGACATGGACGGAGGGAGGAAGAAGAAGATCTACGAGACGGACAGCGCGTACTCTGGTATCGCACTTGCGCACCTGCACTGAGTAGACATATAGCCCTGTTATTAGTATCAGTAATGTAATTGTGAAGATGAAATCGAGGCGACTGCAGTGATGAGCTGGTCAGATGAAGTTGTCGGTGTCTGAGCGAAGAGCAATCGCCGACGCACCCTCGGCATCCAAAACCCACCGAGGGTCCAAGCTTCTCAACACCAAAACATTCCGACCACCCCACGCGACAATCCCGCTGCGAACGCCGTTCCTCCTTCCCCTCCACCCAGGGCGCCGACCTCAATTCCCTCACTACATCATCGCGCAACATCGACCGCCACGATGAACACAATATCCAAACCCCCAACAATAAAACGCATCTCAGGCCCCAAGCGCTTCCTCGGCGTCCTGGTCGGCATAACCGGCGGCCTCTCCGCCAACGTCCTCCTCGCCTACAGCGTCTCTTCCTTCTACACCCGCAACACAAAATTCGTGCCTTACGACGCCTCCTCCCCCGACCTCACCACAGCCGTCTTCCGCGCGCACAACCCGAATAGCAACCCGCCCGGCTGCATCGACCATGCGATAAAGCAGATTCCGTATGGGAAGCTGCCGGAGAAGTATTGGGTCAAGGGCGATGGAGGCAGGATATCGGTTGACCAACCGGCTTTGACGACGGATTTCTGCCGGGGCATTTGGAGTGGGGTTGCGTTTAGGGTGCAGAGGAGGTTGTTGGAGAAGTGGTATCGGAATGTGGAGGGCAGGGATACGCATCTTTGGGATGTGAAGGAGTTGGCCAAGAGCGATTACAAGGTTGGGACGAAGATTGTGGATCACTTTGAGGTTGTGGAGCATAAGGATGATAAGGTAAGAAACTTCAGGCGATCGCATTGGGGTTTGTTGGCTGACTTGATTTGTGCACAGGTTATCGTGAGATGCGGCGACTCACCACACGTTTCCGAGCCCCGGCCCTCAGATGGACTCTTCTCTATGGAGGTTTCGAAAGACGATGCTGCGCAGATGGCTACTTTCCACCTGAAGTCGGTCTTTGTGGATACGACGCCAGAGGGCAGGGACGCTGGGCCGCAACCAGGGCATATTCAGTGGCTGCATAGGCTGTACACTAAGCTCTGGATGGAGAGTGCGACGCGCAAGTTGATCAAGGAGGCATAGACATGATACCATTGCAATGCAAACTATTCTGGTTACGAAGTACCCTCAAAAAGTAGAGGACATCAGCACTTACCTCTCACATCGATGCGCGAGTCTAGGCTTTGCCCGCACAATATGGATAAGGATTGGAGACGCTGTTTATGATGAATGACCCAACACGCGAAACGATCGGCGTGCGGAGCTCACCCCGCCCGTTCGGTCGCAATCCCAGACAGCAGCGCAAAAGCAAGTCTACCCGTGGCTCGAGCTCGAATGCGGGGATCAGTCATCGTGACATACGTCAGCGGATCGGCGTGCGTCCAATAGCCGGTACTCATGCGTTCCAATCATGATGGTCCGGAGAAGGTGCTTCACAGCACCATACCATACTTGAGATTCTTAACTTCGCACGCCGTTTCCATCTATCGCTGTTCCACTTCTCCTAACCACAACCACCGACTTCCATATCCTTACGCTATTATTATCAACCCAACCCTAACACTACCTCGAAGTCCTCACTCCCCCTCACCATGGGCGTCATGACCTGCACCTCCTCAACAATATTCAACTACCCCCCCGAAATAATCTACGACTTCGTCTCCAACCCCTCAAACTGGGGCCGCACCTACGCCGGCAGCTCCGGGCTGCCCCCAGGCCAAAACCTGTCTCTCCCCCTCAAGGTCGGCGACGTTTGGACCGAAAAGGTCGCTCTGCCAAATAACACGTACCACCCACAATGGGTTTTGGAAATTGCAGACCGCGGTCGTAAATTCGCGTTCCGCCAGGTCAACAACATCGCTGCGGGGGAGGATGGAAGCGGTGGTGTAAAGGGTTATTGTTGGATCACGTATACGTTTGTGGAAGCTGGGTGTGGGTTAACGTTGTTTACACGCAATCTGACGTGTGAGCTTGAGAAGGGGATGGATGTGCCGGAGGATCTTTGGGTCGCGATGAGCAGGCCGAGTGGGATTGACAGGTATCATGAGAAGATAAAGGAGTTGCTTGATGAGGAGATGGGTCAACATAAGATTTTGTCGGTTTGAAGTGGTGATGATGTTGAAGGGGATGATTTTTGGGAATAGAGGGGTTGAGGGAGGGTGTAGGGTGTTGGTACTGGGATTGTTGGGTATATGTGAGGTGTGACTGGATGCCATGGAGATGAATGAAGCTGTGATATGAAAGATGTATACGACCTTGCATGCATTTCAAACATCAAGACGGCTGTTCAGGATTCACAGACCCGCCAAGCTGCACGACGTTCTAGTACGCCCTCGAAGATGCGACCATAGACAACGAATGCCTGGCTGTCGCGCCAGGTAGCCATATAACGCAACCTCTTACGCAAAGATGTCGCGTTGGCAAGAACGGCTTACCCGAGCTCGCTGATCTGGCAAAGCCAGTGTGAGCTAGCGTTGAAGGACTGTCGGCCAACGCCATGGCTCCAGAGAAGGATGAGGAAGGAAATCTGGTGTACAAGCAACTCGAGGTAAAAGCGGGGACACTGATCCTGATGCACGGTAACCTCATGCACACCAGCGAAGCCAATGAGAGCGGGAAGGGCCGTGTCGCATTCAACTTTGGCGTGGTTGAGGGGACGCACGAGTGGTTAGCAGTCAATTATTTGCAGCCTTACGAGTTTGAGACAGAGTTTGAGCAGCTTCATGCCTGTTAATGCGTGTATGTTTGATGTGCGAAGGGGTAGTGTAGAAGAGGAAGGCAGGAGTCGATGGCTCGGGCTCGGCGTTGGTGGGTTCTTAGGCGATGACGCAATCGTGCATGACGTAGCGTACTCACGAGACATCGAGCACAGATTCGTCCAACACGCTGCATGTTATGAGGGAGTGATTGGTGGAAGTGATAGAAGAAGATCTCTTGCTTACTCTTCTTTGCTGCATCTAGATTGGCTATGCCTGATCACTAGTTGCGCCTGCCGTGTTCTGAACAGCAGGCGCGCAGACCCCACCACGTCTCACAGATACACCCACATCGCAACCACGAGATGAACCCGACGCTACCTCACGCGCCCTCGTGGTCAGAGCAGACTGACGATAGCACCTGCAGCTGGAGTCGGGGCAATCATCAGGGATTGATCACCCTGTCGAGCATGCGCGAGGCTGCACGCAATGGCTGCGTTCGATGCAAGCTACTTCTTCGAGGAATCGAGAAGTACACCTTCCCTCCTTTCCGCCCTTATTGGACTACCGAGGCCACTCTGAGTGAGTATGAATCCGACCCTGGTCTCGAACTCACAATCTCGGTCTTCAAAGATAACAAAACGCCTTTGCGGGTGACGGTGCAATATAGCGGCATGTTCAATGAATTAAGGAGCTTGCCTATAAAGCTAAGTTTTTACACCCATCCTGGTCAGTTTGTCATGATGTAACATGCGACGCTTTCATATGTACTGATCATACCCAGACAAGCCACCTTACTTCTCCGACGTCCAGACAGCAGGCCATATTCCGGCTGACCCTGCATCCCAAGCTTGCATTAGCACAGTCAAGGAATGGATCAGACGATGCGACGATCTGCACCCACAATGTCTTCCGAAACGAGACGCATCAACGACACCAACGAGGCTCATCTCGGTCGGTTTGTCTTCGGACGATATAAAGCTGTGCCGCTCGAGTGAAGTACCGGCCGATGTTCGCTACGTTGCCTTAAGTCATGCGTGGGGCGTGATAGAAGAACGTAGGAAACCCATGCCGTTGCTCTTGACTGAAAATGTCTCTGCTCGCAGGCTTGGCATACCATTGAACGAGCTCACCCAAACATTCCAAGATGCCATCACTATAACCAGAGATATCGGCATTCCTTATATCTGGATCGACTCATTATGCATTGTACAAGATGATCGTGAGGACTGGGCAAAAGAGGCTGCCCGCATGGCATCGGTGTACAAATCTGCATACCTCGTCATCGCTGCAACAAGTTCGAAGAACGGCGACTATGGCTGTCTTCATCCCAGAAGTCCGAGCTACGACTTAGCGGGCCCGAGTGACCGTAGCTTTCATGTACAACGAATGATAAATCACCACACAATCGTTGCGTGGAAAGCTGGAGATGATTCAAGGCCTCTTCTGGACCGAGCTTGGTGCTTCCAAGAGCGGCTGCTTGCTTGTCGGGTACTCCACTATACTGAAGAGGAGATGATGTGGGAGTGTCAAGATGAGCTTTGGTGCGAATGCCAAACCATCAAATTAAGTAATCCATCCACCGTGGAGCTGGAGACGTTCCAGCTTGCTCATGCAATAGCCGCGGCGTCGATGAACCCTAGAATACGCGCAGAGTCATGGGACAAGGTCGTGAGCAGGTATTCTCAGCGGGCACTAACGTTCGGAACAGACCGACTTCCGGGCATCTCTGGGATTGCTAGAGAACTTGCGCTACCAGCAATGGGCAGATATCTAGCAGGTTTATGGGAATACCAACTTCCGCAAGCGCTTTTGTGGCAGTCTACAGGCAAAGTCATCGACCGACCTTCACAGTATCTGGCGCCCACATGGTCTTGGGCGTCAATTGTCACAGGTGTGCTTTTATTCGGATGGCAAGTAGAGGCGAAGTCAACGACCTCAGTCTGTCGAGCAGTTGACATAACTTGCACGCCGAACACTTCCGATTTATATGGGCACGTTCGAGACGGGCAATTGAAAATCTCCGGGCCGACGATGGCAGCGACCCTGAAGCGCACGGATCGAGAATACAAATCCAGCCGCTACGATGTCATTCTGGAAATCCCAAATACCGAGGGTCCTGAAGGACCAAATGTTGTCCATATGACGAGTGACATTGAGCTGTTGGAAGACACCGTGCAAGCGGTAATCTTGCTCATACAGGTCCGAAGCTGTTCAAGCTATTCTACGATGGGTATATTGGCTGACGGACTTGCATTGATACATTCAAAGACGCATACTGAGTGCTGGGAAAGAATTGGTTATGTCTATGGATATGGACTGGACCTGTCTCAGATGAAGGAGAAGGAATTTATGATCGTCTAGCTCCGCCTCGGAGATAACATAACCCCGCATGACATCACCTCGGCACCCCCAAAGGGAACATCACGACCTCCTCTCCTTCCATCTCTCGTAAACAATCATCTTCAAGCACTCAAAATGTCCGTATTCCGCCCCTCAGCACACGCCCTAATAACAGGCGGCGCATCCGGCGTCGGCTACGCCGTCGCGCAACTCTGCCTCAAGCACTCAATGCGCGTCTCCATCGTCGACTCCAGCCAATCCTCCCTCGACCACGCACGCAAAAGCCTCTTCTTATCTTCCTCCTCCCCCTCCTCTATCTCCAACTCCGTAACCTTCATCCAAGCCGACGTCTCCTCCCGCTCAGACTGGGCCTCAATCCGCCAACAAGCCGGTCTCGACGTCGACTTCCTCATGCTAAACGCCGGCATCGGCGGAAAAGGTACCTGGGGCGATGAAGACTACTTTGATAAGATCCTTGCTACGAATCTGGGGGGTGTGGTGAATGGGTTGAATGCGTATGTGCCGAGTTTTAAGGAGAGGGCGGGGAAGGAGGGGATGACGGCGATTGTAATCACAGGGAGTAAACAGGGGATTACGAATCCGCCTGGTAATCCGGCGTATAATGCTAGTAAGGCAGCTGTGAAGACGCTGGCTGAGCATTTGAGTTATGATCTGAAGGATAGCGGTGTTGGGGTGCATTTGTTGGTTCCGGGGTGGACTTTTACTGGGCTTGTAAGTTCTCCTTCCATCTTCGTGTTCGCATGACTGACAGTATTAAGTCTGGAAACGAGCCAGGCTCAACCAAAGCCAAACCGGAAGGTGCATGGTCAGCCGACCAAGTCGCTGATTACATGTATGCCAAGATGCAGGACAAGAAATTCTACATCATCTGTCCTGATGACCAGGTCACGGAGGAGACGGACAAGAAGCGTATGCTGTGGAGTGTAGGTGACATTGTGAACGAGAGGCCACCGCTGACCCGATGGAGGGAGGAGTACAAGGAGGAAGCCGAGAAGTGGATGGCGGAGCAGAAAGTGTAGATCGGGTGACGAAATGTGTACGTTTGTATTAAGATTACTCACAGTAAGGAAAAATTGGGTATCTACAGTATTTTTACGTCTTCTTCCAACTCTCTCAATCTTTTCCTACCTCTCCACCCAACCGCAAACCACGCAAACCATCACACCTTCCCACCATCACCAGCAGCGCCCATACCCAACCCATCATTCGCAGTCTCAAATCTCTCAACACCCGGCCTCTCCACCATCCCCGCATCTCCTTCCTTCTCCTCCACCACACCATCACTAAACAACCCCGCCCCAGCCCCAGCAGTAAAGAAGCGCTCAACACCCGGTCTCTCCTCCTTCAAAACCTGCTCATTCACGCTCTCACCCACAGGCACAATACTGTCCAGTTGCCTCCATTCCGCATCCCCCGGTACCATACTACCCAACTGCTTCCCCTCCTCATCCCCCTCCCCAGCCGGCGGCGTAGTAACATACAAACTCGCAAGCGTAAGCGTACTAGCATTGACATCCTTCCCATCGGGGCCATCCACCTTGAGACTAAACGGATACGCGATACCGCCAGCCGTGGGTCGGGTAGTCAAAGTATCTGTTTCGGGGATGATGGTGCTGGAGTTGTCGGGGTTGTCCGAGACGATTATGTTGGGTGGGACACCGGGGGAGCTGAGTTCGCTAGTGGGGGAGGGGAGGGGCGAGGCAGAGCGTTCTGGGGCGAGGGTTGTTGCGTCTGCGAGGCCGGGGGACGGAAGGACGATTTTGGAGAGGTCGTCCATTGGGAGCCCGGTTTGGCCTTTGTCGGTTACGGCGGAGTGGCGGGAGTGGGAGCGCGAGCGTTTTATGCCGGGGGTGGTGAGGTTGTTGGCTCGGCTGCGGGTTGGCGCGCTTTCTGTTGCGCCGTCGGTGGGGGTGTTGGCTGGGTCTTGGGCGGAGGTAGAGGCCTCGGTGTCGGGGTTCTGGTCTGCCTTTTCTTCGCGGACGATCTGAGACGTGTTAGTAACGTTGTCGTGGCTGACGTTGAGAGTGAGTGTACTTACAGTGGCTGAGTCATGCTTACTGCCCCATCCAGCCCACATCGACATGCCCCAACTCCTCTTCTTCGCCTTCTCGGCCTTCATGCCCTTGATCCTTCTACCAGCCAAGGCAGTCGGTGGGGGTGTCTCGCCCTCGAAGCCTTCGAAGCCTTTTTGCATGTCCTTAATACGCTGCTTCTGGATCTTGATCTTCTGCTTGGAGAATTTGTTGTTCCACTGAGATTGCGCCTTCATCCATTTGCTGACGGGTCCTGTCTTTGGCACGCCCACATCAACGCTAGGGACGTTCAGTGCGACAAGCTCCTCCTTCGGAGCGAGTGCATAGATGCGCCCGTGTCGATCGATGCGCTGACGGATCATATGGCGCTCGAATGGCGGAATCGCGTCACCAGCTCGACCAACGCGTGCATCTTGAGCGGCTTTCTTCTCGGCTTTCGTGGGTTTGGGATGTTTGTCTGCGGACTTGGGGTCGTCCGACGAAGAACCAGAGCCAGCCTTGTCAGATTCAGACGAAGTGCCTGAATCACTGCTCATGAAGGAGATGTCGTCATCGTCGAGGATGTCGATGGACTTCTTCTGAGCGCGTGCAAGCGCCCAAGCACCGAACTGGGCTATACTACGGTACATGTGCTTTGCCGGGCGGGTGAAGCTGAGCGTAGGTGCGACGTGACATAGGTCATCCCAGACTTGGAGCTGAACGTTCGTGGGCCTGTAGCTGGCGGCCTGAGCTTGTATGGACTCAGCAGTCTGGTTATTGGAAGGTGGTGGGATGTAGGCCAATGGTTGCGCGGCTTTGTGCGCGAGGTAAATCTGCTCGTCTCTGAGTAGCTCACCACCTCCCGTTTGGATGAGTAGAGGGGGCAGTCCTCCGAGTGTTGGTTGTAGTACTGGCGATACCAGAGGATGTGTCAAGAGATGATTCGGGGCGTACATCTGGATCTGGTCCTTGATCTCGACGCGTTCATCTTCTAGCTGAACTGATAGCTGGCTCTTAGGTCCAATGCTGTATTTGCCATTGGACGAGATCCAAGTACCCATGCCTTGTCCTGTAGCTGATGGATCCGCGACCTCTTCTAGAGGTGGTCGATCTCCAGATTGGACGGAGTAGCCTCGTACGCGCTCAGCTTCCGCCTCCTTCTTTGCTGCCTTGTCCTCCGTCTTGTCTGAACTGTTCTTCTTCTTGGTCGAGCCCTGGAGCGATGTTTCGATGTCCAGCATATCGTCTGCGTTGGGAGGTGCTGTATGTGGTCAGTGGTAGCTCGTCGACACGGACACGACCAACTTACGCCAGCTCATGCTCGGCTTGTGGATGAAGCCGTGCGAGGGGATGTAGTCCATCTTGCCATCGCCACCCAGACTAGGGAAGCTGTGTGTCAAATCCACCCATGGACTGATCAAGATGGCTCCTGCGGGCAATGGTATGCCTTGGTCGCGCATTGTCACGAGCATGCTGAGCACCATGCCGCCGCCTGCCGAGTCGCCAGCGAGTATAATCGTCGTAGGATCGTGCTTCTGTTCGAGGAGGTAGAGGTAGGCGGCCAGACCTAGAGTTGTTAGCATTGCTTCTTCGACATCGAGCAAACCACTTACAGTCATGTAGACCACATGGGAAGGGGAACTGAGGCGCAAGTCTGTATTTGGGCGCCAGCACCCTAGCCTTGAGCTTGCGCGCATGCCGCTGCATCTGATAGCGATGCTCGTCGACGCTGCCAAAGAAGTAGGCGCCGCCATGAACATAGAGCATTATGCGGTCGCCTTTGGTGATTGCCAGCTGCTTCCTCGCGTCGTAGTCCTTGCGCATCTCGATCCACTCGGCCTTGAGTGTGGTGCCTTCGCGTCTCCACTGCCACCAATTCGTTCCTCCGACTGCCTTGATGCCTTCTGGTCCCAATTGTGCATTGAGCAGTTCAGCTGAGCGCTGCAATAGAGTCGCGGAAACCTCGACTACATTCACGTGCACCCAGCGCGGCACTGGAACCCATTGCGACGTGAAGGCCTGCAATTCGTCGACCGTGTGGAAGGAGGCGTAGTGGAGAAAGCGGCGGATGAGCTCGAGGCCTTCGTGGTACGATATGTGCGCCGTAGGCTTTTGCGCAAGCGGTCGGCGATTGAGGTAATGCGAGAGATATGTCTGGATAACCGTGGGCGTCACAGCCGCGCCCACAGAGATGGTGTTGACAGGCATCGCGACTCGGGCTTCAGGGGTGCGGAGCTATCCGAGGTGGCGTAAGACGCGCCCAGCTACTGTCGCGTAGAAATCTGGATGGTATGCTGAGAATCTTCCACTGCCGGGAACAACGGAAACGCGTTCTAACAAAGGAAAATGTACGAGTTGTGAGAGACACAGGGATAGCTTCGTGAGCCTTAGGGGTTGGGAGTGGAGATGGTCCCCCGGATTTTCGGTGCACCTCCCAACCCCTGCACGACCCGCCTGCACGACGTCATCGAGGCCCTTTTCTACATCCATGGATTATCCGAGCGTGTGAACCACGAGATGGCAGTTGATCGTTACCATGCCCGGCGCTCAGCATCAGCTCGACAGCGTCGTCATCAGCATTCCATCAGCTATCATAATCCAATCCGGCAGTCGATCGTCTAGAAGACAGGTGACCATAACGCGATACGAAGCTCTGCTCTGAAGAGCAGGACTTCTTTCAGTCGAACATAATTCGGTTGAGACTATCGTACGCACTTTAGTTGTATTTCGAGGTAGCGCTGTTTCAAGATCGCAGTCAAGTTACGGCTGCCAAGATGATACATGGAGGCACTTCGTACAGCACGATGAAGCCCTGGGATAGGAGCGGCATAGAATGCACGCATTATCTTTGGGGTAGTGCAACAGCAAAAGCATTGTTGTTGTCGAATAGTGAAGATGACAGGACATCTTTCACGTGTTACCGAAGTTAGCCCGTTGGCACGTGTCGTCCGGATCAGTGCTAGCGCGCCAAACGCTTAGTCATCCACATTTCGTTCCAGCGTTGGAGCTCCAGGGCTTCCACCATCCTCGCGCACCCATTTCACCCATTTCGCCGACCAACGGCTGTCATCAAGAAAATGGAATTGATCGCACCAGTTACGATACCGAAATTTGTTAGCGTAATAGTAGAGCCGATAATTGCTCTCGGCGCCTACAGTACAGCGCAGCATGCGGGTTCACCTGAGCGGGGCTCTGCCACGTCCACAACCAGGGTTTGCAGCGCGTCTATTTAACCTGCATCGACCTGACTCAGGCACATACCTGAACTGTCGGCAGGACGGGAGTCACCGTGGCCTCCCGCTGTCAAGATCTTTGTCTCAGATTGCTGGCTTTCCGCCGGGCCGACGCGAGGACGCCTGAAGTCAGAAGGCAGACCTCTGGGCCTGAGTGCAATTCGCTGGATCGGAACATGGCCTTCCAAAGACGTCTCTCATCACCTCTGCTCGAAAATCATATGCGCGTGAGTGCACGAGGAACCATGCAGCTAGAGGCCCGAATTGTGCGCTGCACGCGCATGCAGGAGACGTACTCCGTGTCCTATCTGGTCTCTCGGTGCACGAGGGTCCTTCCTATTGGGCCCTGACATACGATTCGGGATGTTCCAGCGTGCAGCCGAGCATCGTCAAAGGCGTTGGGTAGCACCAGTGAAATGCTCCAGATAGCTGACACATCAAGCACTACTCCAAGAACATCGTCCTGCATAACGCTGCCGTGTAAGCAACATGAGCCCGACCAAGCGGAAGTATAATGAGTAGTTTGAACGCAGGACGGGAAGCTTCACTCCACATCATCTTTCTCTTGACAATTGCTTCAAGTACATACAACGATTAGACAATATGATTGCCGAACACAAATCCACCCTGCTTGAGCTGGCCAAGGAAGTCCAGCAGTTGACCACACAGATCGTCGCCGATTTGACCGAGAAGAAGGTGCCAGAGCCTTCATTCGCCATCGATTCAGACACCATTCCCGAAACTCCGGAGCAGATCAAGTTGCGCGATAGTCTCAACGATGCCGCTCGTGACCTACTCCGTCTTGTCAACGGCCCCAGGAACGATGCACGAACATTCGTGTGCTATCTATATGATTTGGCGGCCTGGCAAGTAGCATGCGAATTCAACTTCTTTGAGGCTATTCCAGAGAATGGAACAGCTACCACGAAGGAGATTGCCGAGAAGGCCGGCATGGACGAAGACCGCGTCGGTCGCTTCCTCCGTATGCTGTCTTCCGATCGCGTCTTCGAAGAGGTTGAGCCGGACGTGTTCAAGCACACATCAAGAAGCGTGCTCTACTTAAAGGACAAGCAGTGGCGCGATGTCATGGCCTACCAGTGGGTCTTTCGCCTGTCATTCACGATTGAAGTCAATGCTAACTCGTTTGAAGATTGGATGAGTTCTTTAGGGCAGCTTCAGAGACCTCGGAGAGCATCAAGGAATCACCCACAGTGACCGATGGCAAGAGAAATGCATTTGTGACGCGACATGGCACCGTTCTTTTCGACTACTACAAGCAAGATCCAAAGCGAGCAGCTCGCTTTGCCAGTGCAATGGCCGGGGTCTCGAGGCGTAAGTCATTGATATCCTCGTACAAACTCATAACTAAACGACGCAGTTGAGAGACATTTTGACAACCTCAAAGAGAGCTTCCCATGGGACAAGATTAGTGGCCGAAAGGTCATTGATGTTGGGGGTGGAAGCGGCCACATGAGCGTCAATCTTGCTCGGGTATGCGGATACGGTGCCGAAGACACTATGCGCGCTTTACTGACTATGCAAAGACCTTTCCCAATCTGGAGCTCATTGTTCAGGACTCATTGACCATGCTTTCATCTGCATCACAAAACGACTTCTCGGATCTCAATGGCCGAGTCACGTTCATGCCACACGACTTCTTCACCAAGCAGCCTGTATCGGGTGCAGCGGCGTATCTCCTGCGGTACATCACTCACAACTGGAGCGACGAAGACTGCATTCGCATCTTCAGAGCACTAGTCCCTGCTTTGGAGAAGAGCCCTGCCGGGACGCCGATTTTGATCAACGATGTGGTCATGCCGGCCCTTGGTGAAGCCTCTCGGTACACGGACAACCGCATGCGTCAGGTCGATCTCATGATGATGTTGATGCTCGGAGCCAAACAACGGTCGGAGGAACAATTCCGTCGTCTCCTTTCAGATGCCGACCCACGCCTCAAGGTGAGTTTATCAGTGAAAAGCATACAAGTGGCGCGGTACTGACTTGTCTCGCAGATCAAGGCCATTCACGGCAAAGGCAACATGAGTTTGATTGAGGCGTATCTCGATGCTGAGGGAGCGCAAGAATCGGCTGATGTCAAGAGCTCGGTTGCTGAGGATGTCGCAGAACAGCTGCAGGGAGAACCCACTCAGGAAAGTACCAAGCGCACTGCGTCTCGCATGTAAGGAGAGTCTCAACGATGTTATTTCCGATGTAGCATTCATTTACACTGGCCAATCATCGTGAAGTTGGGAGAAGACGAGTCAGACCATGTACTTGCAGATACCTCATTTGGATGAACAACACGTATCTTACGGCTACCCTTCCCTTCAAGGATTCGACTGCAGGTTGTGAAGTCTGTGACTGCTCGTATCGGGGCGTGCCTGCTGTGGCGCTTGCTGCCAAGCGGTTTAGCCTGAAAATGCCCCTCGTCACCATCTGCGCGCGCCGAACCTCAATCCTTCCATCCTCATCCACCCCACGCGTTCAGGCCGACATGGCACCGCAGCCATGTCACCCGACGCGCGCAAAATTTGTTACACGAACAGGAACGAAGCGCGCTACAAGCAGCGGTAACCTTGCTATTCGATGACGGGCATGCACGCGCTCCACTTCGGCTCGTCTATAACGGGGCAGCTCCACACCACTTCGGCTCATTCTGTACTCCCTTGCAGTTACACACAGCTGCAGGATCGCATTCATGGGTGAAATCCTTCGCGTCTTCCTAAACGCCATGCATTCTGCACTTGTGCAGGCCACACCGCTGCTTCCTGCTCCTTCGGGGCGGCACGCTTGAGGCGTTCGGGTGGCTTCCCATTGCCTGGCGAAGTCCCGTGATAGGCTGTTGCCGATGTCACTGATTTCGACGTCAAGAACGAAGCTGCTACTCCACCACTGATCTATCGCAGGCCGAAGCTCTCCCGCCACTACCTCTGGTAGCGACCAACAACTAACAGCCACGTAACAGGATAGATCGCGATAGTCTGATCGTTCACCTTACTCAAGCGAACAAGGTCCCAAACAAGTGGCTACGCATGCATGACCTTAGTATGATGTCTGTTCTGGGAATCGAGCGGCAATAGCCTCCACAGCCTTTCCCGATTTGACCAGGATTTGTCAATAACAGGATGGAATTCCGAAAGAGCAGCAACCATTGGGCAGAGAGAACTTGGAATGCAGATATGGACGTTTCTTTGTGTTGTCGACGGATGCGTCTGCGCAATGCTCGCCATGGGGTTCACGACAACCGAGTGCGCGAAGGATGCGCTACTGATATGCCCCGGCCTCATGTACTGTACGGGGGCGTTCTCGCCTCTGTGCTTGATTACTAGGCAGTTGGTTTACGCACATGTGGTGCGTGGCAGAGGATGCGATTAACACTGTGCAGCTAAGCGTGTCAGGGAGGGCCGCTTTCCGCGACGTACGCAGAACCCCAGTGATCAGTGTGGCTCCTCAGCGCCGAACCTCGTCTGGGGGCATCTCGTGTCGATTAACAAGGGCTCTCCTGATCCTACCTTTAGAAAGCTCTTCGATACCATCTTATCAATGGCCACACTGACCAGCTGCGTTTGCTTCAACATCTTTCCGTACTAAGTCATCAATAAGTTCAACACTATTCATGACCTCTGACGACAATGGCGTATGAAGATACCAAGCCAATGCCCATTGCCATTGTAGGCTTTGGCTGCCGCTTTCCAGGCGACGTTACAAACGGTGAGAAGCTATGGCAGATGCTGGTCGAGAAGAAGTCGGCTGGCACCGAAGTACCTCCAGACCGCTTCAACGTTGATGCATTCTACAACCCCGATGGGGATCGTTTCGGGACGGTAAGCTTACGCCATCTACCGTACAGACCGCTCCGCTGACACAAATCCAAGTGCAACAACCGCGGCGGGCATTATCTCGCTGAGGATGTCTCGCTTTTCGATGCGCCGTTCTTCTCAATATCGCCAGCCGAGGCCATGGCCATGGACCCCATGCAGCGGTTATTGCTCGAGGTGACATACGAAGCATTAGAGAACTCAGGAACGCCACTAGCCCGAGTCTCTGGATCCCAAACTTCATGTTATGTCGGTTGCTTCACAAAAGACTACGAGGAGATGCAACGGCGAGACATGGAGCTAGCACCCAAGTATCAGTCAACTGGGGCTTCGCAAACGATGCTTTCGAACCGCCTGAGCTACTTCTTTAACCTGAAGGGGCCGAGTGTGAGTATAGACACAGCCTGCAGCAGTGGACTCGTAGCTGTGCATCTAGCGTGCCAAAGCCTGCGCACTGGTGAAAGCTCCATGGCGATCGCAGGAGGAAGTAACCTCATATTGAGTCCTGACATTCAAATCGAGATGAGCGACATGCACTTCCTGAGCCCGGACTCGATATCGCACGCCTTCGATGATCGAGCCAATGGCTATGCGCGAGGAGAAGGTGTTGGCGCAATCATACTGAAGCCACTAGATCTGGCCATACGCGACAACGACCCCATTCGAGCCATCATTCGCGGCACGGCTGCCAGTTCGGACGGACGAACGCCTGGCATTACGATGCCTTCGAAAGACGCGCAGGTCGACCTTATACGCTCCGCATATCGTGCGGCAGGGATCGACGTAAGCGAGACAGGATATTTCGAGGCGCACGGCACGGGAACGGCTGCAGGTGATCCTATAGAAAGTGGAGCAATTGGCGAGGTGTTTGCCACGAGCCGTCCCCACCGCATCTCTGCGACAACCGAGGAAGTCGTTTCTCTCTCCATTGGCTCGGTCAAGACAAACATGGGCCATTTGGAGGGAGCTAGCGGCATTGCTGGACTTATCAAGGCCATGCTAAGCGTCGAGAAGGGTGTGATTGCACCAAATCTCTGGTTTCAACGGGGCAACCCAGCGATCGACTTCGAAGGATGGCGGGTCGAAGTGCCCACAGAGCCTAAAGAGTGGCCCCTTGACGGTCTGCGGCGCGCAAGCGTGAACTCCTTCGGTTACGGTGGAACCAATGCGCACGTCATTCTTGACGATGCACATCACTTTCTTCAACGGTATCATCGCTCGGCTCGTCATAGAAGGAACGATTCGGGTTTCGTCAGTCCTATGAGTGATGAATCTTTTAGCAGCACACCAAGATCGCGTCTCTTCCTCCAGTCTGCCAACGATGAGCGAGGTCTTGTTCAGATGGGCCAGGACTTGTCGAAACATCTTCAACGCCAGGATGTCTTCAACGAGGAGCAGCTACTTGATAATCTGGCGTACACGTTGTGCGAACGTCGATCACAACTTTCCTATTGCGCCGCGATTGTTGCGACAGACAAGTCCGATCTGCAAACCAGATTGCAGCAAGTAAGACCAAGCTCCGCTAGTGGCGCAGTACCACCGCGGATAGGCTTCATATTCACTGGACAAGGTGCTCAGTGGTGGGGTATGGGTAGAGAGCTACTCCACTACCCAGTCTTCCGGAAGAGCCTGCAACGATGCGAGTCTGTCGTGAATGGGTTAGGTGCAGAGTGGTCACTGATGGAAGAGTTATCGAAAGACAAATCCACCTCCCGGGTCAACGAAGCAACGTTTAGCCAGCCACTTTGCACTGCTCTGCAAATAGCGTTGGTGGGTTTGCTTGCATCGTGGAACATTTGTCCGCAGCGTGTAGTTGGCCACTCCAGTGGTGAGATTGCTGCTGCATATGCCACCGGTGCTCTGAGCCTTGAGTCGGCGATGACTGTCGCATACTTCCGAGGCTTGTTGTCGCCGAGAGTCAAGAGTATGGGTCTTGAGGGACGAATGATGGCGGTTGGCCTATCCGAAGATGATGCGAAGACTGAGATTGCAGAGTTGGCTGATGGCCTCGGTAAAGCTGTAGTAGCTTGTGTGAACAGTCCGCGCGGGGTCAGCATCTCTGGCGATGTTGCTGCCATTGAGAACTTACAGAAGGCTCTGGATGCCAAAGGCGTCTTTGCGCGACTGCTTCAAGTCGATACTGCGTATCATTCTCATCATATGCAGGCGATCGCGGAGGAGTATCTTGCCCGCCTCCAAGAGACAAAGGTTGCGACAATCAAGACCAATGGGCGGATAACGATGTACTCTTCCGTGACGGAAGACGTGATCAATCCAGACCAGCTCGGTGCCGACTACTGGGTGTCGAACCTCGTCGGTAGCGTCCGCTTCTCCGGAGCGTTGGCCAAGTTGTGTACCTCGGACTCACAGGATGGCAAGAACGCTGTGGACATTTTGCTGGAGGTTGGACCACATGCCTTGCTTAAACTTCCAGTCAAGGAAATTCTCGACGCTGCATTCCATCAGAAACCGCAGATACAATATCTTTCCACTCTTATCCGCAACAAACCTGCAGACGTTACCGCACTCGAAGCGGCCGGCCAACTATTCGCCCACCGCTATCCGATCGATCTGCACGCCATCAATTTCCCGAACGAGCCCAAGCAGCCACTATCCGTGCTCACCGATCTGCCCCAATATCCCTGGAACCACACCCGCCGCTACTGGTGGGAGTCGCGCCTTAGCCGAGACTACCGTTTCCGACAGTTTGGTAGGACCGATATCTTGGGCGCGCCGGTCAACGACTGGAACCCAATGGAGCCCAGGTTCCGCAACTTCATGCGCCTGCGCGAGCAGCCGTGGCTGCGGGATCATGTCGTTCAGGGTGATGTGCTGTTCCCGGCGTGCGGGTATCTGTGCATGGCTATTGAGGCTTGTCGGCAGATGTGTAAGATCTCACCGTCTACCTTCCTTCCGCAGGGCGTTAGTAGTGCGGCGGAATATCGACTTCGCGAGGTCAATATTTCGAGAGCGCTCGTTGTACCGGAGGCTGATGAGGGGGTTGAGACTTGTTTGTCGATGAAATGCAACACCAGCCCAGATGGGTCATCTTCGGAGATCTGGCACGACTTTCGCATCTTCTCCTACACTGCAGATGGAGGTTGGGTTGAGAACTGCCGTGGCTTAGTCTCGGTATCAGGTCAAACTACCTCGGACGAACAGCTCGCTCAGGACTGCGTCAATGAGTGGAACGCCTCATGCTCAGCTGACGCAGACGATATGGACGTTCAATTATTTTACCGCAGTGTCGACGCCGTTGGCCTTACGTACGGACCGATGTTTCAGGGTCTCAAGGAGATTAGCGTCGACCGTCGGTTGCCTGGCAAAGCTGCCGGAGTGGTTGAGGTCACTGACACCAAGTCTGTCAATCCGAAAGGTTATGAGTATGACCGACTGCTACATCCTGCTACTTTGGACACTTTCTTGCAGCTAGGTCTGGCTGCGCTGGGTGGTCCCGAACTCAAGCAACTGAAAGGCGCCATGATACCTACGTACATCGAAGAGATTTCCATTTCCACCGATATAGCAGCTCAAATTGGTGAGCGTCTCAACGTCGTAGCGAATGCTCAACGTTTCGGCGCACGACAAGCTACTGGCGACATATTCGCGTTGGACCCGATGACTTTGAAGCCTGTCGTTCTCATGGACGGCTTCAAGTTCGTCGCCATCAATACGAACACCACATCTAGCGAGCAAGCGTCCCCTCCAAAACACTGTTACAAGGCGGTTTGGGAGCCAGATGTTGAACTTATCGACCGTGAGCATCTCAACCGTGAACTGCAAGCAGCACCGAAACCAGATGAACGGCCGAAGACTGTCAGAGAGCTGGAGCTGCTTTCTTACTACTTCATCGACAAGGCATTGCAAGAAGTCAGAGCCAACGAGGAGTCCACAATGTTGCCACATCATCAGACGTTCTATCGCAACCTATGCGAGTTACGCGATGCGGTGCTAGCGAAGACGCATCCCCAACAGACAGATGAATGGCAGCAGCTACACAGTTCGGAAGTTGCATCAAGGCTTGAGGCCATGGTAGAACACTACCGCAATCATGAGACGGCGTACGATGGCAAGCTTCTTGTTCGCGTTGGTGAGGCCCTGCCAGCCGTCTTCCGACAGGAAATTGAGCCACTCGCTTTGATGACGCACGAGAACCTACTCGAGGACTACTACACCACTGCCGTTGGCATGCCAAACACATATGCTCAGATCTCACGCTATACTACTATGCTTTCGCACAAGTACCCCAATCTGGACTACCTCGAGATCGGCGCTGGCACTGGTGGCGCGACAGTCCCGACGCTCAAAGGCTTGAGCGGCTGTCAAGACCTCCACACATACCCTCGCTTGAAGTCGTACACCTACACGGACATCTCATCCTACTTCTTCCAGCGCGCCGCGGAAAAGTTTGAAGACTTTGCACAATTCATGAAATTCAAGAAGCTGGATGTTGAGCACGATCCAGAGACGCAGGACTTCAAGCCAGCCTCTTACGACGTCATCGTTGCGGCGAACGTGCTCCACGCCACATCAGACATGCACCGTACCATGACGCATGCGCGGAAGCTTCTCCGACCAGGAGGAAGACTCATACTTCTTGAGATGACGAATCGTCTCCTTGCTGCTTCAGTCATCTTCGGCACCTTACCTGGATGGTGGAATGCGTCTGAAGAGTGGAGAACTGGCGGGCCTCTACTCACTGAAAGCCAATGGGAGAGCTTGCTGCGCTCAACGGGGTTCAGTACTCTTCAAGCAAGTAGTCCAGACGTTTTGGACCCGCTCGAGGAGGGTACAAGGCTGATGATTGCGACTGCGGTTGAAGCAAAGCCGACCCTATCGAACGGTGTGATTACTCCGCCAGAAAGACCTCGCTTCGTCATCCTGTGCGCCGACTCACGCATCCGGATGAGCAGGCTGGACATGCCGTTAGCTCTCAAGAGCAAACTGGAGAAAGCCGGCTTCCAAGCACAGCTCGCGACAGTCTCCAAGCTTGGCCAGCAAGATCTCGCTCATACCATCTGCGTCAGCTTTGTCGAGCTTGAAGAGCCTTTGCTCGCTGATCCCACTTCAGAAGACATGAAAGCCCTCCAATACATCGCCGATGCATCGGCAGGTTTGATCTGGGTTACACGCGGTGCGGCGTCTTCGGATGTTGAACGTCCTGAACTTGCTGTATTCCAAGGTCTTGCGCGTGCGTTGCGAGCTGAGAATGAGAGCTTCAAGTGCGTCACAGTCGATTTAGATGCCAGGACGAACCTGCCTGCTCTCAAGGTCGCCGAGTCGCTTCTCAGCATCCATGAGAAGCAACTCAGTACTGAAAAGAGCGCTACTCTGGTCGACAGCGAATTCGTCGAGCAGGGTGGCATTCTTCGCATCAAACGTGCGATTGAGGATGAGAAGTCGAATGAGTTCCTGGTTGGTCGGACTAATGCGACGGCTTTACAGCCGCAGATGGAGAATGTACTTCAGAATGGTCGTCCACTTAAACTCCACAACGTCAGCAAAGGCGCATCAGACGTGGCCGTCTTCGAAGAGAATGTGCGCTTTGCGCAACCTATTGAAGCTGACGAAGTCGAAATCGAGGTTCGCGCTACGAGCCTCAGCTCCAGCGACATCGAGATGCTGGATGGAGATGACTACGATGGCAAGCTTGGACAAGAGTGTGCGGGTGTCATCACAAAACTTGGCCATGGAGTGTTGGACCTTTCGGTTGGCGATCGAGTGGTAGCATGGTATCCAGGCACGCTCGCCACCCATGTGCGCGTGCCAGCAGCCTTTGCGCACACAATTCCCGATGGCTTGGTTTTTGAAGTCGCAGCTACATTGCCGCAGGCGCATGCGACTGCTCACTATGCGCTCAACCACGTCGCGCATCTACGATCCGGAGAGACTGTTCTCGTTCATGAGGCCGCAGACGCCGTTGGTCGAGCTAGTATCGAGACGGCCTCAAAGGCAGGCGCAAAGATCTTTGCTACAGTGCGATCCGACGAAGAGAAGAGCTACCTTGCCAAGGCCTATGGCCTCGAGAAAGTCCGTATCTTTTCCAGCCTCGATCTCAATTTTGTCACTGCGCTTCGGCGCGCGACCAAAGGCCGCGGTGTTGATGTCATCCTGAACACCCTGACTGGCGAGACATTACAAGCGACCTTCAGTTGCATCGCGCCTTTTGGCAGATTCGTAAATCTCAATGCACCAGGGACTGGCCGACTGGAGATGGCGCCATTCGGTCGCAACGCATCCTTCTCATCAGTCGATATGGCGTTGCTGTATACGCAAAAGCCCAAGCTTGCGAGTCGAGCATTCCATGAGGCTATGAGCGCTGCCACCGAGATGAAGATGCTCGACCGTAGCGCTGCGGATGTGTTGCCTTGGTCCAAACTGAACGAGGCTGTCAAGACGTTGCAAGATGCGAGTCACGATGAGCAGGTGGTAATGGTACCGCAGGCTGACGATCAAGTTCTTGTAAGTCACCATCCGTGTATCGATGTCGAAGATTCGACTAACAAGTTTCAGGTTGCCCAGAGACCGCCACCCGCTATCTCTTTCGACCCATCAGCTTCCTACCTCCTCGCTGGCGGTCTCGGCGGTCTCGGACGAAGCATCTCGCAATGGCTCGTCACCCACGGCGCAAAAAACCTCATATTCATTTCCCGCTTCGGCGCAGTATCAGAAGAAGCTCAAGCATTCCTCGAATCCCTTCACGCCTCGGGCGTCTGCACTGCCATTTTGAAGTGTGACGTATCCGACGCACTCGAGCTTTCCAACCTTCTTTCCGAAAACCTGCGCTCCTTCCCACCGATCAAGGGTGTAATACAAGGCGCAATGACCCTCAACGACTCCCTCTTCAGCACAATGACCTCGCACCAATGGACTTCAACTATCCTCCCCAAGGTCCACGGCTCCAAAAACCTCCACGAGACCACCTTATCCCAACCACTCGATTTCTTCGTTCTCCTCTCTTCCCTCCACTCCTTTATCGGCAACCCCGGTCAATCCAACTACGCCGCAGGCTGTGCCTACCAAGTCGCACTAGCCAAATACCGCAACGCGCTCGGTCTGCCAGCTACAGCTATCGACCTCGGTATCGTCGGCGACGTAGGCTATGTCGTTGAGAAGAAGGTTCAAGGTCGCAAAGTACAGGTCCAGGAGTTCAAGCACATTCATGAGAGAGAGATGTTGGCGCTCATCGAGCTGGGTATTCGCGAACCGATGATGGGGCACGTCGTCACGGGTCTTGATTCCGACCTCGATATCAGTAGCTTGGACGACGGGGAAGCGCCGTTCTTTGCAAGAGATCCCGTGTTGAGTCATTTACCGTACCTGCGCCCGCATCTCAAGATCGACGCGCCTGCTCAGGCGTCAGATGATGGTACGACGACTACATCGCTATCGCTCTCCGCGCAGCTCTCTTCCAGTCCGTCTGCGGAGGCAGCGAAGGAGTTCATCCTCGCAGCGCTGCTCAAGAAGCTGTCGCGCAGTCTTATGATGGATGTATCGGAACTCGATGCGAGTCGTTCGATGAGCAGCTACGGGACGGACTCACTGGTTGCTGTTGAAATCAAGAATTGGATTCAGAGGGAGACGAAGGCTACGGTTAGTGTGTTTGAGATTTTGCAGAGTGCGAGTATTGGGGGGTTGTTGGATGGTGTTGTGGGGAAGTTGGGGCTGGGTGGGGTGTAGGTTGTGGGGTTGGGGTGCGCTTGGTGAGGTGCTGACGGAATGGCGGAGTTGGATTGGTGTATGGAATCTTTGCTTTCCTATGTATTTCTGTTTCTATGCTTTGCTATACTTCTTCCCATGGTCAGTGCAAGTAGCAATACATTTGTGCCGAATTGGATGACATGTAACGTCGTGGTGGTTCTCTCCGCTATACACATCTTAACGCGTCGTGGAGTGCAACGGCTCCGAGGAACGCCTATAGCTGTGTCGCGTCATCGAAATCAGAGTGCGTCTCTCCGTGTCCAATTAATTCACAGTCGCCCTTGACGAAGTAGAAGCCACGCGACACTAGATGCACCAGAAAAAGGAGATGTCTCGAGGAAACGGATATGACGGGATGGGATGGGAGGCGAGCTGCCAGATGCTAAAGCGGTTAGATCATGGCTTAGCGTCCGCTCTCCTCCCGCCGACTAAACCAGATACCAGCTAGGCTCTTCCCCAACCTCCACAAGTCGTTCACCCCAGGGCTGCATCATCGACACGTGTGCGTTCGTTCACGCGTTTTCCAATACAGATCGTGACGTTTGTCCTTGTACAGCGTGCTGGAAGCGGCAGCCGAGAGCCATGCGAGAGTACGAGCCTTCGTCACACCTGCCGTCCTTGCCGGGCACAGCCATCGTCGGCACTCAGATCCGAACAGATCCACCCAACACCTTATTGCCAAGCGGGTGACAGCAAACAACGTCATAGGCATCAGGCATGCTTTTTCATTTCGCATGCCTTCAAAGATGGGGTTTCCACCTTCGATCTGCATCCAAAACCTCACCTGAGTCGAACTACCCACACGCTCCGTCACACATAGCGTGCCATGTCCAACATCAACATCACCAACGAACGAGAATCCTACCAAGCCGTCTTCGCCCTCGATGTCATCACAGCGGCTGGCGCCCTGATCTTCCTTGGTCTGGCTTCGAAACCTACCTTCCAGCGTATCAAACAGCGCCGCTTCACCGCACCAGGCAAGAACAGCGCACGCGATGGCCCGCTAAAGACAACCCTCGGAACATACCTTTTCCTCTGGCCAGCGCTTCTCTGTCTCTTCGTCGCGTACCTATGTCGCTTTATATCCGATGTCCTGAAGACGAGCGGAACGATCGACTACGATGCGGACCTAGGATGGAACGGGCGTCGCGGTTACACTCTCACAGACAGTGACTACGCGTCTAGCATCTCAGCGCTTACTTTCGCCACAACGCTCGCGACTGTCTTCTTCACCGTGCTGCTCAACGGCGGTGTCTGGATCCATTCTAGTCATGTCCAAGAGAACGGTACGGGTATCTCGACGCCAAAGACTATGTCGCGGATCTGGAACACGTTCATCATGGTTGCCATGTTAGGTACCGGTGTTGCAGCGTGGGGTCTGGGTTTGGAGGCACGAGACATCAGTACCGGTAGCTCAGGCCCGGATGCGCTCTTGTCTTGGTCGAACGTCATGCAGCATGACCGTGCGACGAGGATCACCTACATCGTGCACGAAGCTATCGTTGTCGCAGCCAGTCTGAGTGTTTCCATTGAAGTCTGGAGGGAGTATGGTACCACGAACAAGAATGCTCATGGTGTAAGTCTTTCTCTTTATGACAGTATTTCAAGTTCCGTCACTAACGTTTCGCAGTCACCTGAACGCAACGACCTCGCTCGTTTCGCTTTCACCGTCGTACCTCTCATCTGGCTCCGCGATATCTTCATCATCTACGATATCATCCTCCTCTACGTCGACACCTCCGGATGGTCGGACAGTTCCGTCTTGGCTACGACCTTCCTGCTCGTCATCTGCAGGCAGTTTGCCAACCTAGCGATCTTGGGTATGGTGCTTTGGGGTGCTTGGCGAATGGGCCGCAGTGTCAGTATGTTTGGTGGAAGCTATGCTTGAGCGAGACAACTACTCTCAGGCTTGTCGCATCATGAAACTACATGAGCATGTCATCATGCTTTAGACTTAGCATTGAGCACATACGGCGCGGATATAAACTTTCTTTAGTATGAGTGGGTGTAGGATAGTTTTGGCACATATGAGATTGTAATAGACTGGTAATTGTTTCATTGCTGCATTGTCATGGGATCGAAAAGCACGCCAAAGTGAAGCCTAGCCAAATGACCGAGCCTTAAGACCGACGAAACACAGCCTATACGAGACAATTGGTCTTAGTCTAGCACTTTCTTCGCCCTTATATACTGCACAGTAATTGCCTTCCTTCAGATCTTCACTCCTACCAACACATCAGCTACTCAAATCACAAAGGCACCATCACTGACCAACATGAACGACCGCGATATGACCGACCTAGCGGACCAAGTCAACGATATCCAGGTTCCGCTAACCGCTCAAAGCAAGGCACAGCGCAAACGGGACGACGAAGTTAACAGCCTCCTCGGTACTGACATGGCAGGCCTAGCGGAGGAGTTCTTGGACATCGCAACAGTCAGTCACCCTTCTCCGTCCTCCGAATTACATGACCACCAAGATCTAGACTCCTCCTCTGCTCCGCTCTCACCCCTAGCCATCGATCAGTGGATTAGCGAGCCCGAAGATGACGCGCGAACGCCTGAGGAAGACAACGCTTCGCTAGAGAGAGCTCTGCGGGAATTAGAAGAGAAGCGAGCTAAGTCGCGACCCAAGGCACCGAAAAAGCGTAACTATGGTCGAGTTGGTCGGAGCGATAGAGTCACGAAGCTCGCAATCCGGGGTGGGCCCCCGGGGAAAGTGCAAGATAGCAGCAAGCTGCACACGGAGAAGCGCAACTATGGTCGACTCGGTAGTAACGGTGGAATTATCAAGAGAAATATGATGATCCGTGGTGGGCGCCCAGGGAAAGTGCGTAGTGAAACTAAGGTTGGTAGTAGCGGAACTACAGAACCAGATATGGTGATCCGTGGGGGGCGCTCGGAGAAACCGCGGGATGACGGTAACGTGCACGCGGATAGGCGGACAAGACAGGCACCAAAGGAAGCCTACCGTAAGCGAATGCCACCTGTAGAGCCCGTTGCCAATTCGATCTGGGAGAATCTGGAACTTGAAGCGTGGCTGCAACGAGGCGGGAGGAGCTGGTCTACGGAAGCAGTCGCTGATTTTGGCCGAGACGAGAGAGACATGTACGCGTGCTTCAGGTAGGCGTTCCCCCTAGGGCGAGGAAATACAATATTGGCAAATCATTTGCTGTGTGTAGCGTAGAAGAAACACCTATGGTTGAACATTTTTGAACCACGGATAGATGTTTTTACCATGTCCAAATCCGTCTTCTCTAGCGAACTTCACTGCGCGTGCTGAAAACGCTGTGTATATAATATGCTCGTTAACATCTACAATTTTATTAGCACAAACAATTTCAGCATCACTAACGTACCTCTCCCTGTTAATCGAACCATTCAAGATGGCACGCAAACGTCGCAGTGCAGACTCGACGCCACCACCACGGCGACAACTACCGCGCCTTCTTCCTGGGTCGCCAAAGGCAAAATGGGGTGTTAACGGTAATGTCACAAATGCAGCTGACCTGAGTGATGCCGAACTCGCGCTCGCGCAGGGCAGGCCTCGGGTTCTGCCAACCATGCCGTCTCCTGGTCCTCCTGCTCCCAGCCCAACTTACCGACAACAGCCGGTCATCCATACGCGAAGAGAACATGTGGACCAACCACACGTAGCGACAAGCGTGCAGTATGGTCGTAGGTCCGCGCCGCAGAATAACGTGCGCAGCCAGCGATATGCTCCATATCCGCTTGCGCCTCGAAACTCTTTTTCTACCCATCCCGGAGCGGGATATACGCCACGTGCCGTTACGGCACCAGTCTCGCGTCTGAACTTCGTACAGCCGCAGCAGCAGCAATACCAGCAATACCAGCAATACCAGCAATACCAGCATTACCCGCAACACCAGTCTGGTAACGTCTTCCCTGATGCGGATCTAATGAGGTTTCCTTCGAACTCCAGTCAGGCTACTTTAGGCCATGGCCCTTCGCATCCTGTGGGATATCAGCCTTCAGGAAACGCTGGCCAGGAAGATGCCTTACGACCTGAGGACTTCCAGAATGCCGGTCTGAACTTGGACGCATTTCAGAATCGGGTGCCTGATGAGAATGGCGGGGACATCCAATTCCTGTCCGACTTTTCGGAATTCCAGAACTTCTTGTTGGGGACATCTGGGGATATGGCTCCTCTTGAACCGTCGGATCGGGGGTACAGCCTTGATCAGATGGCTTCACGTCCGATCTTCCATCGGTATCCCGCTCCTGTTCCTGCTCCCGGTTACCAGCAACCCCTTCCGGAACCTACCTATGCCGGCTACAACACCGCTGGGGCTTACCAAAGTCCATACGCGCCGATCATATATGCTCCACAGCAGGCGCATTTTCAGCCTACGTTCCAGCCGGTCCCGATGTACGCGCCAGGCTCCGTCAACAACAATTTCGTACAGCAGCCGGGCCCGATGTATGCCCCAAGCTACGTCAACAACTTCGTCGTACAGCAGCCTCAACCGCCGCCGGCCGCGCAACAACCCCAGGCCAACTACCCTGCCGCCGCCTACAACCCACCTGCGGCTTACACAGCACCTTCCTCGCGACAGCCAGGAACTTACAACGGCAGCACTGGGCAGGCGCAACAGTTGGATGCGGGAACCAGGCGGCGACGGTCAAGCTTGTACCTGACTACTGAGGAATGGGTTGAGGCGCAGCGAAGGCAGCGTCCTTCCGGTGAATGAGGATGCGGACGGAAAAGGCGATGAGAGGTGAACATGGACGCGGGATACGAGGGGGCAGTGGGAGCTGAGCGAGCGGCGCATACGACAACGACGTCCTAGTGGGACGAGCAACGAGAAAGGGAGAAGGCTGAAGAAGAGAGAGAGAGAGAGAGCAGAAAAGACGCAGCGATATGGAGACTGGAGCTGCGAAACTGGCGTGGATTCAGAAAGAAGATGAAAAGGAAAAAGAAGACGACGACAAGCACACACCAGGTACAAGCTACATCATCAACCGCATCCCAATCAGTTCCGCGCCAAACCACGCTACTGAATCCTCATCAACTTCCCGAGCAGAAGCTTTTGCATACAGACAAGCAAGAGCGATAACCCCCGCTGCGAACCTGAGTGCGACGTTGCTCTCAGCGGTACCGACACCCGGATAACCGATATCGGAACGCTCGGAAGAGCTTCAACCCGCATTTGGACTAAGTGCTTGGCAGTCGCGGCAACCAATGAGGTTATTGCAGTAAGTAGGGTCTTTCTGGTTTACGTGTTCGAGAGCGAATAAGGATATCAGGGTAGCTTCAGTTGAGATTCTTGACGATGTGGTCATTCCGTGACAGTTAGTTGATTAAGATTCCTCAAAACGCGTCACATTCTAGCCCGACCAATCACACATCACACGTCAAGATTAGTAGTATGACTTTTATCATTGGTATCTATTTTCATCTCATCGTCCTTCTCATGGTAAGATCACTTTGTTAGCCCTAACCCGCCTTCCCCTTCGGCGTAACCTCAGGACTCGCATAAGTAACCTGATCATGCATATTCTCACGATGAAGCCACCTCCGCCAGTACGTCAGCGTCGTATGCATATCAGACGAAGCCTTCTAAGCCCTCGACATGTTCTCGCCCTCCTCCGCCTTCTGGAGCCCATACTTCTTGAGACTATTTCACGTTAGCAAACCATCCATACCTCCACCCAGAACTAATCTTCAAGGACGTCTAAACTCACCGAATGCTCTGAATAGCAATAAAGCCCGTAGTATCCATAGGGCTAAAGTTATCCAACGTATCCATACTAGCCTCCTCCTCAGAGTAAAGCTTCTCCGTCTGACTGGACCGACCAAGCACATACGCGTTACCCTTGTACAGCTTCATCCTGACCTCGCCGTTGACCCTGCGCTGCGAGAAGAGCAGGCTGTTCTCGATGAACTCGCGTTCGGGCGAGAAGTACATGCCGTTGTAGAGCTGGTAGCTCCAGTTGTGGGATACGAACTGGTCGCGCAGGTTGCGCACCTGGGCGTCCATGACGAGGCCCTCGAGGTCGAGATGGGCGAGGCGGAGGATCGTCATGGCGGGCGAGTCGTAGCAGCCGCGGGATTTGAGGCCGATGAACCGGTTCTCGACGATGTCGATGCGGCCGATGCCGTGGGTGAAACCGAGCTTGTTGAGGGCGGTGAAGAGCTCCACGGAGTCGGTGTAGGTCTGCGAGGGGGTGGTGAGTTTGACGGGGATGCCCTTTTCGAAGTGGACGGTTATGTCGGTGGGTTCGTTGGGGGCGTTGAGTGGGGAGTCGGTCATGGTCCACATGTCGTCGGGGGGAGACACGTCGGGGTCCTCGAGGATGCCTATTCTATTAGCCTTGAACACACAGTCTTAATATGTGCTGTCTTACCGGCCTCGTAACTGCAGTGAGCCAAGTTGGCGTCCATAGACCAGGGCTTCGCCTTGGTAGACGTAACCGGAATACCATGCTTCTCAGCATAGTCCAGCAGATCCTGCCTGCCCTTGAAGCGATCGCAGAACTCCGGCAGCCTCCACGGCGCAATAACCTTGATAGTAGGCTGGAGTGTGTAGAAAGCCAGCTCAAAGCGGACCTGATCGTTGCCCTTGCCCGTGCAGCCGTGCGAGACGAACCCACAGCCTTCTTGCTGCGCGACGCGGATCTGTGCGCGGGCGATGACAGGGCGGGCCAGCGAGGTGCCGAGGAGGTAGCGGCCTTCGTATGAGGCGTTGCACTGGACGGCGCGGAAGCAGAGCTCCTCGACGAATTCCTTCTGCAGGTCTAGGATGACCATCTTCTTCGCGCCGATCTTGAGCGCCTTCTTCTCCACCTCGTCCCAGGGCTCTTCCTGGCCGACGTTGGCGAGGAAGCAGACGACCTCATAGCCCTCCTCTTTGTCTGCGCGTTAGATCTTGTTGTGTGTCTGGATGTGCTTCTGACGTACCGATGAGCCATTTCAGGATCGTGGAGGTGTCGAGGCCGCCTAATGACTCGGGTTAGTTTGTTGGCTCTGAGCAAGTTGAACGCAGGTGAACGCAGTTGACGCAGGTAAACGCAGTTGACGCAGTCGTCATAACATTGGCTGTCATAGAAATACTCACCAGAGTAAGCAAGGCAAACGCGTCCCTTTGACATATTTGCAAGTGTTTGGGTATAAGAAGTGAGAAGGAAGAGTCAAGAAGAGTCAATTGAAGGAGGGGTTGCGGCGTCTGGGGAACGACGGGTGTGGAGAGTCAGAAACCTTATCTTATCGGCACAAAAAATGTTCGGTCCCTCACCATCCCTGCTGCCCGATCATCGGCTTGTCAGTCAGCCTCACGACGGACCTGAACTCGGACATTGAGTATGGATAGCCCACGATAAAGGTGGCTGGAGTTCGAGTCGCGATTTGCAGCTTGCAGCAAAAACACTATTGAGACTTTGTTAGTAGGCAGCATCTGAGGTAATGTATATTCCTACAGTCAAGTATTTCACACAATGCGACACATCCAGTAGCCGTCCCTCGTGCCTACCCTGCTGTATCAATCTTCTCAAACACCACAGTAACTTTACATGTGAACATAACAAGCCACTGCTGCGTCTCAACGGAATAATATTCGACAAGGTATATAATCCCAACGCCAAGTATGCAATGCCCCGTCCGTCCCAGAGCATAATTCGTCGCACGCAAAGTATAACCTCAACAAGACCGTCGCTACCCAAACTTCCCAAGATGCAGCGCCAAAATTCAAATACGCGTAAACACTCGACCCAACGCGCTGGAGCGTTCAATGTTTTATGAATAAACACTGTGCTAGAAAGCACCACCAGCGACCCTCTCCCTCTCATAGAAAACAATATACGCCTTCTCGTTCTGCAGACGGTTATGGGGCGGAAGATTCCCAGGATCAAAATCCGTGATCTTATCGTCGTTGAACGAACGCCAACAGCCCCTAGACTTATCCTTGACGAACGCGATGTAATGCCCGCTTCCAAGCGTAGCACCGATATGCCATATAACAGCATAGGCGTTATAGACATACGGCCCATTCATAGTAGGATCGCTCTTCACGCCAGCAAGTTGCGCAGGTCCATCTCGGGCCTTTTCAGAAACATATCTTTCTTGTTCTGGTGTCATGGGTGGCTCGACAAAGGGACCCATGTCGAGGCGTTGGAGCGGGAAATTGACAGGCGTCCGGACTTTCCGGGCGCTTTCCGTGCGCGAGGCGCTGAAGCGTTTGAAGTGGATGACGAGTGTGTCGGGGGCGCGGGTGATGGTGATCTTCTTTACGGCTTCGCGGTCTTTCTTGCAGCGAGGGCAACGCCATAGTTCGTCTCCTGCTAGACGCTCTGGTGCGCAGTATGAGTTTAGACAATGGCGCAGGTCGCATTCGCCGTCTCGGGGAATCTCGACGCTGATACTCCAGAAGGCTTCGTATGTTGTACTTGTTACGCCGCATGTTTGGCATGTAAGCTGCGACGCGTGCTGGCCAGCGAAGAGACCACCAATGACCGACATGTCGCGGTGTTGGTATCGTCGCCATTCGATCATAGCCGAGTATTGTCTGGGAAACCTCTCTCGTTGCAGCTCCTCTTGATCTGAAAGTGGCTTCAGTGGCGGTTTGTTCCAGGTTAGATTCAAGTCTTCGTGCATGTAGTCCAGAACAAACTCCAAAAACTCCTTGGCGTCTTGCTGCTCATCAATGCCCCACTGCGAGTTGAAGTGTCCGCAGATGCGCTGTTCAAAGTTAGCCATGCCTATCTTCTGCTTCCATCTTTGACTTACCCTGAATGTGCTTGGGCGCACGGACGTGACATCGCCCTTGTACAGATTGGACAGCAGCGTCGCGTACGCCTCTGGCAATATCCCCTTTGTTCCCTTCCAGTTGTCTCGTTGAAGGTCTCGTTGATATCGTCCGGTGAGGAACAGGTCTGAAAGCAATAGATGCCCACTGAGACACTGCACCACCGAGTTCATGTAGCACGTGACACCAAAGTTCAGCAGGCCCGTCCTATGTAGCCTCAGGTTACTAAATTGAGGTTGTCCGTTGTAGACGACATTGCGATTCTGTTCTTGCCGGTCATGTACGCCACTGTAGCTCACCCTAGGAACAGATGGCAGCGGACGAGAAGGCGCGACGGGTATGGCAGGTGCGACGTATTGATTGGTCGACTGAAACTTGGACGGGTACATCATAGATGACTGCTCAGCTTCAACATCGGGGTATCGACGTAGGAACTCTTCTGTCGAACGGTAGAAATCCTGCGTAGGTTCATCTTCCTCTTCGCCATCTACCGGAGGCACTTCAACTGCAGCACGCCCCTTTCGGGCTTCTTCCAGCCACTGTTGTTGCTCTTCTTGGTCCATAGGGACGTATTCGCGCTTCGACCTTCTCTGCGTATTGTTCCTCGCGATATGGCTAGCAGCTGGCGATCGCCGGATAGCTCGAGCCCGCGTCGGACCAGCAGCCACTTGTCCAGCAGTGTTCGACGTCTTCAAAGCCTGTGGGCCCACCAGGTCCATCCAAGCGTCGAGACCGCCTTTGAGAAGAACCGGAGGACGTCTGAGCGGTTTGTCCGCATTAAACTCGTGCAGGGTGTCAAATAACCGCTTCAGCGCAATTTCGCTATCAGATCGGTTGTGTCTATGCATGAAGTCAATGTTCTTTGTCGACTCGTCGTAGTATACGACTACATCAAAGTCGGCCCTCTTGTCGAACATGTCCTGTTCCTCGTCTGGGGATATGATGAGACG